AACTGAAAGAGGGGAAAATAAGAAAAGAGAAAAAAATAAAACCAAGCTCTCTGTCAATCCCTCTGTTATCCCAGGAACCATGGGTTGGCCTGGAAATTCCTCCCTACTCCATGTTTCCTAATTATGTTTTCTCACTTCCTTTCTTCTTCAATTCCTATTATTCAAACTAAATTATTCCATAGGTTGGTTGGTTTGTTTGGTGGTTAAGAAAATAGTCATGATTTCTCCAGACCTTCACCCAAATTTCAAATTTCAGCTTTGACCTCATGTGCTCATTAGGGCCTGCCCAGAAGAAAGTTTTTTGCAGATCCCATCTCAGGTACACAGAGTTCTACAGTCTGTTTGGCCAAAACGTTATATGCTTCACTAATAAAATTAGTGTGAGGTGTTTTTTTAAATTAACTCTACATCAAGAGAGTTTTCTCATGCACTGTTTTTCTAAGACCTGGTACTAAAATTTAAGAAAAACTTCTTCTTCTTTTCCCAGAAGGCCACAGGAGTGAGTTCAGTTCCAGATCTGAAGGGTAACTGGGGGCCATAGTCTCAGGGATCTTACCACTATCAGCCCAGTAAACTTGTTTTTTTTTTTTTTTATGATTTTGAGTTTTGTTGCACGTTGCTCTCCCACTCTATCCAGGATCTCCTACACTGATCCCTTTAGGAGTGGTTAACAGTGGTACCACCTAGTTCTTCCAGTCTCATTGTCACATAGGTTGAGGATAGCATGGTCTACAAGTCTCTTGGACTAATTGTTTCCATGCATCTTTGGTTTTCTTCATTCTTCCTTGTTCTGGACAAGGAGAGACCTATTGTTGCATCTTAGATGGTCGCTTGCAAGCTTTTAAGACCCCAGTTGCTACTCACCAAAGTAGATTGTAGAACAATGTTTTTGTGTACTATGTTATGCCAATTGAGCTTGGTGTCTCCTGTGACCATGGTTCTGAGCCCACAGGTCCAACTACTCATCCCCCTCAGGTTGTTTGGCTGTGGCAAAGAAGTTATCATCATTTTGCCCTTTGTTAGCTCTGTTATGTATTTGGACATTCTTACAGCACATACAAATACGTATGTAGAAATATCATCTGCTAACCTTATATATAGTCATGGGTATATTCCCTTTTGCCTAGACGTACCTGATCATTCAGCCTGTCTACCCATCTATTTACCTGTAGATTAATGTTTGTTATCGCTGACAATGCAGTATTGTATATGTAAAAGGGTTTATCTTTGTTGTCTATACCTCTTGTGTACCTTTCTGTCTTCCACTTCTTCATGCCACCATGTTGATCATTCACTTTTGGTACATTGCCCTTTCCTTCATCCAAATCAATACTTGTCTCTATCTGTCTAGAGTTTCTTCTTAAATAAACTTGAATCATTTGCATTAATAACACACATTTGCCAAGTTATACTCATAAAGGAGAAAAAATGATATTTTTTTTCTTTTTCTGATGTACAATTCATTTTAATTATGTACAGTAAATATATAATTGTTGCCAATTTTTCAGTTCTAAATTTTCACATTTTGAGGAGGAGAAAACCCAGCTTTGTCACAAAAATGATTGCATTATGATATGATTCTCTTGTGTGTCTGTTTTCATTATTGTAATGGGATAAAGTCAGTTGTAAAACTCCAGCATATTTTTTT